GACACTGAGGAACGCTGGGAGTTTTTCACCTGACGTCACTCATGGATCCAGATGGGTTTACCCCCAGAAAACAAACTGAGTCTGAGTCTTATTAAGGAGAAGAAATATGATCTGTCTGCTCTCCTGCTTTAGTGTAATCCATGGATCAGAACAGTGTGAAACCACATTTGATCTTCTCCTAACATCTCCTACTGATTGTCCATCGTCCTGCTCCACTGTAACATCTACCTGATCAACAAAATGTCCAACACCAGTCCACAAAAAAAAAAAAATCAACCCTAAAATGATCACTCTCATATTTCCTCTGTCTTCTTGCAGTAAAGAGGAAATCCATCCATTAATTCTCATCTACGTGAGATAGTGGTTTTGGCGCCCCCCAGAGGAGTTGGACAAAGACAACTGAGGAGGAGAGGAGACATGGAGCAGATAATAATCATTATATATTGCTATTACATACTCATTATAGTCACTCAACTATAAATTACCCTACACCGCCCTCTAGTGGAATTTACGTGATACTGACATTGTCTGTCACATGTTTAGCAGCAATCGATCAACGTCCAGAAATCAAACGTGACTGAAGATGAGCAGACAGAGACAGAGACAGAGAAAGACACACTGTCACGTCTGATGACAGAGGGACATCGATGACGGGGAACAACAGAGACGCTGTGACCTCATCAATCATTCATCCTGTTGTTAAGGACAATCGTTTTATCATCCGTGAAAACAAAACAAAAAACCCCCGTCATGTTGACATACATGTGAGTTTGGTGTGATTTCAAGGTGAAGTCCACTTCCGTTGATAAGAGTTTGTTTCTTAAATGCTAAAAAAATGTAGCCGATATATAGTTAGACCAGGGGTGCCCCTAGAGGACTATCTTGATCTAGCGGGATAACGCAAATGAGGAATCAAATAGAAAAAAAATAAAAATAAAATATAAATGTGTGTATGTGTGAAGTAGTGTGGGGGGTCACGCACCATAAAAATCAATTTTTTCGGCTGATTTACCAGAAGCTTAAATCACATGCAGTGATGCTGCTGCTGCTGCTGCTGCTGCTGCTGCTGATGATGATGATGATGATGATGATGATGATGATGATGATGATGATATTTCTCCAGATTAGCAAAAAACCTACGATATGATTCTAAAAAACAAATGACTTCATTCTCATAACATTTCGACCTTTTCTCGTTACGTTACGAGTTACTTTTGTCGGACAAACATGCAACTTTTTATTCAACTCCATTCTCATAGATTTACAACTTTAATCTCAGGGTTGTTGTTTTTTTATTTTAACCTCAATGTTTCCTGAATACTCTGTTGTGAAAGGTTTATTGGATGTACTGCAGTACTCTAAGTGAAAAAGGACTTAGTAAAGTAAATCTTTTTCAAATAAATCAAAGTCAAGTCAAATGATGTTTTTTTCGCACTGGCACTTGGCAGAACCAGCTACGCTCCACGTCACACTCACTCCTCATCTGCCGCTCAATAACTAATCCACCTAACTAATGGGGTTTAGAAGCTCCGATTGACTCATTTGGGCGCAAAGCCCTGAAACTTCTGAGCAACTGATCACAAGACAATGGGTCTATGTCAGTTTAGCAATCATGGAAAAATCAACACAGACTCAATCCCATTCTGACATGTGACAAAAAAAACAAAAAACATTTTGAGTGCGGAGTGTATCTTAAACCAAAAGTCAACGTGAACCAAAGCGTATTAGCTGGGCTTTAACTCCTACTATGTATGAACTAATACTTGAGTTGATGAGTGATCGAGTATGAAAACGCTTACGAAAAGTGTATATGAACAGCCAATACGATATTTAAATGGTATTTACAAGTAGAGCAAAATTGGTTATTATAGAAAACCTAAACATGTCACACTTAACTTAAGGCTAGCACTAACAGCACGTGAAAGTAAGTTTCACTGCCAGTGAAATTGATTTCAATCTTTGCAAAACATCTTCACGCCCCAGTAAGCAACAAAGGAAAACTCTTGTCTGCTGATGATGCCTCTGTAGAAATCGATTTTTCCTTCTCTCACTCAGTCTACGAGAAGGAAAAATAATAATAATAATAAATTACAAATTACTCTCTCCCTCTCTCTCTCAGTAGTCACCACAAGTGTGGTTTTATCAGTAACACACACAGCACCGTGAAAAGTAAGACCCACGTGTTGAGTCAGACGGACTGATGCAGGGAGGTTTGGAGTCACATGATGCAGCAGTTAAACCAGGGGAGGTTTAATAAAAGCAGCAGACCAAGTTTCAGCTCAGAGTACAATCACACACACACACACCAGAGCCAGAGCCAGAGCCAGAGCCAGAGCCAGACTCCGACACACACTGTTTACCTGCAGGACCAGCCGGGATGGACGCTGCCTACAAGAAAGTCAATGGAAACTGCGGTCCCCAGGAGGGCACGGAGGGGCAGGAGGGCAGCGGGGTAAACACCGTCTAAAGTTTTATGAGTGCTTTTTTTTTACCACAGACTGATTTGACTTTTTAAAAATTTCCACTTTTGGTTTATGTTTTCTGTCGCAAGCAGTGACGCAAAGAGAGGAAGAGGAAAC